CTTTTATCAACTTAAATCGTTCGTACAAACGGATGATGTATGTTTAACTGATATGATAATTCATTGAATCTACCAATTGAAAGAAGTTTAATTGGAATTAATCCAAATGGTATGTGAAATTGAAAATCATTTGCTACAATTAAGAAATAGTTCTGTTTGCATATTCTAAATAAACTTGACTGATCAAACAAAGAGTGAAAATGAACGAAAATTAAAGTATGTAACTCTATTAGTTTATCACGATTCACCAAACATGATAACACTTTTATCGATCAAAGTTGTTCACTAACATATTTGAAAACATCGTATAGAGATTTCTTGTGAATATTGAAGACCATCGGAAATTTGCTTAGAATTAGAAATACACGAGTTGCTGATGAACAAAACTGATTTTAATTATCGTTAATAGTAAAGAACTTTTTATAAATCTAGAAATGAATATGTCATATCTGTGATCCAAATCAGATATTAATAACATTGAATAATAACAATTTTTGAATATTTCTCAAATTCATGTTCGATAAGATAAAATAAGATCATAACGTTTATTTGTAAGTCTAATATAAAGAAAGAATAAACATAATGCTCGTTGTTGATAATTATACACAATCTTATGCACATTATCAATTATCAAGTGTGCTGAATACGAAAAAGCACTTTTCAACAACTCAAAACCAACTTTATTTTTTTTTCCGGTGATATGTATTTTTTCCATTAAAGCGCAGTATTTGTACAAATAAAAAGAGGCCGAGCAGCAAACGCGAAGCTCTTCAGAAATGAAAACTGTGACTCGAAAGTTTGAGTCTACTCTGTCAGTTTAATCTGTCCGTATTTTCTTTCAATGTATTTGATGTGTTTGTTGGTGGCGAAGGAATAACTTTTTTTATCTGTTTACTGCTGCTATTTAGAAACTCTTGAATTTTTTCATGTGCCGTTGGATTTCTTTTAAAATAATCTTGTACATCTTTAATATAATCAGTATTATTTTTCATACTAATTATCCCCTCCAGTTCCTCAGGTAAACCACGAATCGATGATTGACATGCCTGTTCACCATAACTTCGTAGACAATAAGCCCATACTAATTTTGAAGCATCTTGTTCAGGTATTTTATTCAGTTTTGCGCCTTGCATCACTGCTTGTGCTTGAGCAGCCGTCAGTGAATTGTCAGGATGATCAATATCTACAACAAAACCATCATGATAATGACAGTTACCATAATTTGTTTTCGATGGCACATAATTTTGTAAACATTTTGAACATTTTCTCGATTTTTCATCATCTCGACGTTATTTTTCATCTTCTACTTCCTCTTTCAGCTGTGCAGCTGTCTTCTTAAATTTAGTGTCATTAACCGATAAGTCCTTCAAATATTCATCCTCCACTATAATTACACTCCATTTCTCCTTAATATTGACAACCTCCTATAACATTCACAGAATATTATCAGTCAATAGGACGAGTGAAATAGAGTTCTCAATGGCACGAAGTGAAAAGAGAAAAATCGCCTGAGCAAACGCGACTTTCCCCCTACCGAACTGACACATTTAACACTCATAAAATTTTGAAATCATCGTGTTCTATCAGATCTCGTGTGATGCCGAAAAACGTTTCTTTGGCTCCGTTTGCGGTCGCAGTCGAAGTTCGAAACACTCTGCTTGTCTTTACTGGAAGCATTTTCTCCGATGAAAACTTGTAGAGCCGCCAGAATCAAATCTCTGTCTTTTACTATGGCCGGCGACTATTCTAACTACGAAGCTACTGAAGGGAGCCGTCTTCGTTTATCATCTTCAGAAGAGAATGAGCGATGCTAAATATGCTTCACTTCCAAACACCCTCTGTTCTCATGGTATTCCTTCCTAAAAAACTTACATTCCTGTTTTCTTGTTCTTCCATCATTGTTTTACTACACTTTTCACGTACAATTTGATAGAGACGTATATTTGAAATTGATTTTGATTTTGACATTTCTAAATCAGCTTTATTTAGCATAATCAATGAATCAATATCAAATACGCACATAGATCGATTATAGTGATCACATTCATCGAAAGTTGTTGTCAAAAGTTCAAAGATTTGATTATCTTCAAATGCATTTTGTTTCGTTAAAAAATTCAGATCAATAATTTGAAGTGTATCAGTATTACGTGTATATTAGACGTGGCAGAACAGATATTTCACTTTCATCTAAATCTTTTTCTAACGTTGGCGCATTTTTCAGTTCGATTAAAATTTTACGTTGCTGTACGTCCAGTTGGTAAGAGTTTCGCCAGTGAAAGCGAAAATTTCTCTTCTGCTTCATTTGAACGATCAGGATTAAATAGATTTGGATTTAGATGATAAATTTCTGGTAGTGTGCTGTTACCGAATCAGACATTGAGATCGCCAGCTACACTATCAACGAACTGCAGCAGACGATGATCCTTAATCTCTGCATTACATTCCATTTCAACAATAATACTTGATTATGATTTGATTGCACCACTAAAATTTGTTGTTATTTTAACAAATGAATCAAGACCTTCGGATGTAAATATTTTTGAACTTTTAAAAATTAATGGATTTAACATTCTTTTACGAATTGCTGGCGATGGACGACCAACAAAGACCTTTGCTTGCATACGACGCAGAAAAGTTTCGTCCATCATATTACGATGGTTCGTTGCACCGAATATGATCAAATTCGGAATATTTTTTACACCTTCGATATGTGATAGTAAAACACTGATACCATCATCTTTTGACTGTTGAGCTTTACTGTCTCGTTTAGGTACGAGACCGTCGATTTCATCAATTGTCATTGCACAAATTAAATGGTATACGCCCACTTGCCCGCCGGACAGATGCCCACGAGACATTTGCCCGTTGGGCGTTGCCCGCGGCGAACACTTGCCCACGGAACATTTGCTCGCCGGACAATTGCCCGCCGGACAGTTGCCCGCCGGACAGTTGCCCGTAAATAATACTTGCCCGCAAATTGCCTTGCAAACAAAGGTTTTTTTCATTACATTCAACATTTTATTATTTTAACATCCCAGTCATACATATATGTACATCTTATTAGAAGTTGAATGCAAAAATGAATACATACAACAGCATGGTTCATGGACAAATGAACTGTAAAGTTCTATTATTCTATAGTAAAGAAAAATTCTATAGTAAATTCTATAGTATAGAAAAATAAGTTAGGCTGACTTGAGTGAAATATTATTGGCTAGTGCAAGTACTTTATCCAACTTTGTTGTCGACTGTTCATCCAAAATGTTCATGATTCTTTTTTGTTGACGCTCTGTCACCAAACGTTTCGGTCGTCGAACTCCGGTTTCGGCTTGGATTAATTCGGCTTCGACCACCGACTGTTCTTTTTTCAGCAGTCGCAGAAACTTCCAAATGTTCGGATGTGCACAATCCACTAGTGATGCAAAGCGATTGTTCCATCCTTCGATCACGTTGTTCGTTCGATGAGCACCTTGTACGGTGCTCTCATGAACGTTCCAAAGCTTCACATCGAATAGAGGTTTTTACCGCGGTCGGCTTGCTCGATTTTTTTCACCGATATACGTTTCTTCGAAATATGCCAAGACGGGTTTTCCGTTGACTGGAAATTGTTGTTTTAATTCTTCAGATGTATCGATAACTTCGTCTGCATGTAACAATGCCAAAGCAGGAAGAGCTCGAATTGTCGAAGCCTCATCAAGTTTTGATGCTTTTTAACCCCTTATCTCCCCATGTCATCACTTGTCATCTTTCCTCCCAACCCCATATTGATGACGTAATATGCGGACTATCTTGTGTAGAAAGACAAAGGTTTGTGTTCTTGTTCTGATGCACTGCGGGCAAGTGTCCTCCGTGGGCAAGTGTCCTCTGCGGGCAGGTGTCCTCCGCGGGCAAGTGGCCAACGGGCAAATGTCTCGCGGGCATCTGTCTGGCGGGCAAGTGTCCCGCGGGCAACTGCCCTAGAATCAAATTAAATAGGAGATTGTTTTAGCACGAGACATAATGTCAACGAGAAGCTTTTCTGTCGGTCCTATCAAGGGCTTATTAAGTTCACCAGCAGGTAATGGAGGAGTGATCATTGTTATACCGGCAAAGATGGTAACTTTCTTCAATAATTCTGATTTACCTGTTAATACAAAAATAAGATTCAATATGATCCGAAAGACTTAACTGTAGACCTTGGACATAAACACTACGAAAACCTCTACTATCTTGTCTTGTTAGACGTGATCGACAGGCAGGACTTCTGATGTTCCTCATCATCACTCAGCACGTTCCATTGCCTTTTTCTACGGTAGAACTCCTTTTTTTAATTGCATTCTAATAATTGCAGTTCTAGATGCTGCTTGACTTTCTAAGAGAAGTTTTTCTACATACCAGTTCCAGGTGGTCTGTAGAGTAAAGGTCCACGACAAACTTCACTCTTAACTTATTGTGTTGATCTTCCAAATGTAAACTAAGCATATTTTCTAAACTTTTGATTTCATCTTCTATTGACGTTGCTCTTATAACTAAAGATAAATAATCATCGTTGTGAGTATTATATGTGTGTTGATGTACTTCTAGTTCATCTGCAGCATCCTGCCTTTCCTTTTCATAATCTCGTCCTAATTTTTTTGATTCTTCATGTGTTTGTAACCACTTTCTGTTGCCTACAGTTGTGTTCGAACGTAATATTTTAATATTTTCAGTAACCTTTCTTTTGCTCTGCTAAATACATTTTCTTTGCGTTTTTTATACGTAGTTACTTTCTCGTGTAACGTTTGCAATACACTTTGACATTGAAGAATTTCTTTTTCCAGTTCTATTTTAGTATTTTTAATTTGAATTAAAATTTCTTTTCAATATCTTCTTGTAAAAGAATTATTTTTTCATTACTTCATTTTTTAAAATTTTCCACTGATATACCGGTCACCGGTATAATTCATGCCGGTAATTTTGAGGTAGTTTGAAAAAACTTCATGCACTCATAAAGCAAGAGGGAAACAGCTGATTTTTGAGCTTAAAAAATCAGTTTAAATCGAAAATCGAAGAAAATCAGTCAGGATCGACGAAAATCCGAAACATCAGCTGTTTCCCCCTTGTCATAAAGCCTGATAAATTCTTTAGTGGAAAAAGAAACCGGACCTATTCACCAGCGAAAAATTAATTCCAAAACTTCTAAGGTGGCCCATCTTGTAGCACGTGAAATTCTTTATCAGATGAGGCATTGCTTGAATTTTTTGTAGAGTCGTTATTCTACAAATGGCGCTTCAAGCTTGTAATAATTTCGTAATAATAGCCTCGTGCTCAACAATTTAACAACATTTTTTTAAGTAATTAAGTTTTCTCTCACCCAGATAATGCCAGTAAACCGAAAAATCATCAAGACATATACTTCGAAGCATCCTCCACAAACTGGAAACATTAGAGGAAAACCTAAATGGGCGGAGCCCCGCTCAAGCGATTTCGTACCGCATCTTTTCTATGAAACCTAGAAGGGTTTACAAACGGTTGCACTTCTCTATATCCTTTTAGGTTTCGTACACACATCTCATTTTCACAGAGTAGGCTATCCAAAAATTGTCACAAGCCAAACAAGCAGGCGTTTCGAACGGAAAGAGGCCTAAAATAAAATAATTTAGCCTCAAACGGACTCTTCTTCTACGAGCTAAATATTTTTGGCAAAATGATGATTATATTTCCATTCCAGTAGCCTCTTATTTTATGTAAAAGAGACT